AATAATCCAAAAGAAGGATGGAAAGAAGGGATAGAGGGCTAAAGCATCAGGAAAATGAGAAAACAAAATGGAAGACCTAAATAGAACCATAAAAATGACTACAATAAACATAAATGCTCCCAACATGCTATTATAAGACCCAACAACTATAAGCTAATTTTTAAAAAGCCCGACTGTAAATTATCTAGAAGAAACCTACTTTAAATATAAAAACATAGAGGACCTCTCTGGTGGTCCAGTGGTTAAGACTCTGTGCTCCCAATGCAGGGGGCATGGGTTCGATCCCTGGTCAGGGAAGTAAGATCCCGCATGCCACACAGAGTGGCCAAAAAATAAATAAGTAAATAAAATAAAAAAATAAAAACATACATAAATTGAAAGTAAAAATATACACTATACAAATAACAAAAAAAAGGTGTAATGGATACATTATTATCAGAGAAAGTAGACCTCAAAACAAGGACTATTAACAGGGAGAAGAAAACACACAATGACACAAGGCATCAATTCATCAAGAAGACATGAAAGTCCTAAACATGTACTCCGCTAACAGCAGAACTTCACAACACATGAAGGAAAAACTGATGGAAATGAAAGCAGAAGTAGACAGATACATAATCACAGCTAGAGACTTAAACTCCTCCTCAGCAATCAACTCAACAAATGGCCAGAAAATAGTACAGGAGACCTAATACTATCTATCTACTGGACTGAGCTGACATTCCACCAACAGAACAACTCATACTTCTCAAATATACATGGAACGTTCATCAAGATAGACCATATCCTGTGTTTTAAAACAAACCTTAAGGGCTTCCCTGGCTGTGCAGTGGTTGGCAATCTGCCTGCCAATGCAGGGGACACGGATTCGAGCCCTGGTCTGGGAAGATCCCACATGCCACAGAGCAACTAGGCCTGAGCGCCACAACTACTGAGCCTGCACTCTAGGGCCTGTGAGCCACAACTACTGAAGCCCACGCACCTAGAGCCCATGCTCCACAACAAGAGAGGCCACCACAATAGGAAGCCCGCGCACTGCAACGAGGAGTAGCCCCCACTCTCCACAACTAGAGAAGGCCTGTGCGCAGCAATGAAGACCCAATGCAGCCAAAAAAAAATAAAACAAAACCTTAAAAAATGTAGAGTAACCTCTGTTACTATGTGAGGTGACAGACGTTAACTGGACTGATCATGGCAATCATCTTGCAATATATACAACTATCAAATCATTATGTTGTATACCTGAAACTAATACAATGTTATATGTCAATTATATCTCAAAAAAATGTAGAAGAACCAAAAGCGCACAATGTTCTCTGACCTTATGGATTTAACCTGGAATCAATAACAGAAAGACAACTGGAAAAATCTCCAAATATCTGGGAAACAAACAACATGCTTTTAAATAATCAATGGGCCAAAGAAGAAGTCTCAACAGAAATTGGAAAATATTTTGAACTGAATAAAAATGAAAATATAAAATAGCAAAACTTGTCAGATGCAGCTAAAGCAGGACTTCGAGGAAATTTATAGCATCAAATGACAAATTAGAAAAGAAGAAAGGGGGAATTCCCTGGTGGTCCACTGGTTAAGACTCCGTGCCTTCACTGCAGTGGGCCTGGGTTCAATCCCTGGTTGGGGAACTAAGGTACCGCAAGCCTCACAGTGTGGCAAAAAAAAAAAAAAAATTAAAATAAAGGTTTTCTTTAAAAAAAAAAAAGAAAGAAAGAAAGAAAAGAAGAAAGGTCTCAAATCAATGACCTAGCTTCTACCTCAAGAAACTAGAAAAAGGAGAAAAATGAGCCCAAAGCCAGGAAAAGGAAGGAAATAATGTCAGAAAAGAAATAAATAAAACAAGAGAATTGTAAAACTACAGAGAAAAATCAGCAAAACCACAGATTGGATCTTTAAAAAGATCAATAAAATAGATAAATCGGTAGCTAGCCTGACAACTGAAAAAAGAGAAGAAACAAATTATAATAATGGAAGAAGGGTCATCACTACAGACACCACTAACCTTAAAAGGAGGATAAGGAAATACCATAAATAACTCAGTGCACATAAATCCAACAACTTAGATGAAATAGAAATTGAAAACCACAGACTAGGGGGTTTCTAGGTCACCTAGAAGAAATGACCTGAATAGCCCTATAGTGACTAAAGGGATTGCACTTTTAGTTAAAATCTTTGCAAAGAAAAGAAAACTCCAGCCCACATGACTTGACTGGCATATTCTACCAAACATTTAAAGAGAAAATAGCCCCAATTCTATATAATTTCTTCCAGAAAACAGAAAAAAAGGGAACATTTCCCAATTCATTTTGAGGCCAGCATGATCCTCATACCAAAAGCAGATAAAGACAGTACAGGAAAAGAAAACCACAAGCCAATATCCCTCATGAATACAGATGTAAAAATCCTCAAAAAAAAAGTAAATCAAATCCAGCAGTATATAAAAAGAATACACTATGGGGGTTTCCCTGGTGGCCCAGTGGTTAAGAATCTGCCTGCCAATGCAGGGGACATGGTGGCGAGCCCTGGTCCGGGAAGATCCCACATGCCGTGGAGCAACTAAGCCCATGTGCCACAACTACTGAGCCTGTGCTCTAGAGCCTGCGAGCCACAACTACTGAGCCTATGTGCAACAGCTACTGAAGCCTGTATGCCTAGAGCCTGTGCTCCTCAACACGAGAAGCCAGTACAACGTGCACAATGAAAAGTAGCCCCCACTTGCCACAACTAGAGAAAGTCCTCGCGCAGCAACGAAGACCTAATGCAGCCAAAAATAAAAATAAAATAAAGAAGTTAAAAAAAAAAAGAATACACTATGACCAACTAGAGTTTACTTCAGGAACACAAAGCAGATTCAATATTCCAAAATCAATAGAGATAACTCCATCACATTAACACACTAAAGAAGAAAAAACACAAAACCATATCAGCTACACTCATACAGAAAAGGCATCCAGCAAAGTTCAACATCCATTCATGATTTTTAAAAACTATCAGTAAGCATGATCCACAATAGAAAAATGGATAAATTTCATTTCAAGAAAATTAGAAACTTCTGCTCTTTGAAAGATGGTGTTAAGAAAATGAAAAGACAAACTACAGACTGGGAGAAAATATTTGTAAATCATGCATCCACAATATATAAAGAATCCTCAAAATTCATCAGGAAAGCAAAGAAAAAGTAAATAAAATCAGAAAGTATTTAAAAAGAAAGGGCAAAAGATGTGAATAAACACTATAGCCAAGAAGATATGCAAATGCCAAATTAGGACCTGAAAGCATACTCACCAGCTTTGGTCATCAGGGAAACGCAAACGAAAGCCACAGTCACCTGTACTACACGCTTATGGGAGCGGCCCACATTAAAGACTGACCACACCCCTGGCCGCTGGGAAGCACGTGAAGCAGAAGAACTCTCCTATGAACATACTGGTACAATGGCTTTGGAATAAAGCGTGGCTGTTTCTCCAAAAAAAGTCCCAAACTGGAAACAATCCAAACATCCATCAAGGCTGAACAAACGGTGGTACACCCATACTCAACAACAAAGGGGCACCGATCACGCCTCCCCACGAATCAACCTCAAAATCATATATCGACTAAAAGCAGCCAGAAAAAAGAGTAAATATTCTATTCTATTTACATAAACTTCTAAAAAGTGCAAACTACCCAGTAGCGACAGGAAACAGATGAGTGGCTCCTGGGGAGGGGCGCTGCAGGGAGTGGGGAGAGGCCTTACAAAGGTCGCAGGTTGGGAGGAAACCCTAGGGATTCCCTAAGGACAGCAGGCACATTCATGTCTTGGGTATGGTGATGCTTACACAGGTGTTGGAACTTATCAAATTATCCACTTTAAATATGTGCACATTTTAGTATATCAGTAATATTTTAAAAAACTCAACAGCAACTAAACAAAAGATCTGAACAGACGACACTTCACCTATAAGGTGTACAGATGGCAAATAAGCACAAGAAGACGCTCAGCATCCTTAGCCTCTAGGGAAATGCAAATGAAAACAACACGGTTCAAATGAAGAAGACAAACCCCCGAGGAAGCCAACGGCCGCTGAGCCACAGGTGAGGATACAAACTGCACACACGCCCTGGATGACAGCCCAGCAGGTCCCTGGAGCACAAAACAGCCGATCGTCAAGTTGCCAGCACTCCGCCGCTGGATATTTAATCTAGAGAAATGAAAACATACGTGCACACAAACACCTGTACCTGACTGGTCTGTTCTATTCAGAATATCGCCCGAATGCGAAATGACAACACACCCTTGAGCAATAAAATAGGAAGAAAGTATTGATGAACGCAACACCATGGACGCCTCCCCAGAAAATCAGAGCGAGTAACAGGCTACATACTGCTTGGCCCTATTCACACGGCATTCTGGAAACGGCAGGGCCAGGTAGACAGCGTGACTGGAGGTGCCAGGGGCCAGAGTCAGGGGTCAGGGGTGGGCTCATGACCAAGGGGCAGCGAGAGGAGGGCTCTGACCATGGAGAGGTTTCTGTACATGTGTTGGGACTCCCTGTAAGTTCGTATCTTAACAATCAGTCCTGATCGATACCGTGAGTCCACAGTGATGAAGGAAACGACTGAAGAAATAGATCAACAGGGAGAGCAGACAAATCTGAGCAGAATTCCAAGTGACCTGCAAGGCAGTGGAGCTGGACCCCTGCCTGCGAGGGTGTGCGTGGAGGCAGCCCTCCTCACAGGGGAGACCCGACAACCGCCACCGTCCAGGCGATCAAGGTCATGCTGACAGCACGTTCCCTGGGTCTGACACGGTGCGATGGCCCTTTATCTTGGAGGTCTTGCTCCTAGAAACCCAGACCCCAGGCTGATCCCGAGAAACACACACGGCAAATCATAGCGGAGGGTACTCGCCTCAAAACTGTCTCAGGCATCACAGCCCAGAGGGGCCCAAGGGGATGTGACCAAGTGTCACATAGTCCTAGCTGAGGTCCTGGAAAAGGACACAAGAGGAAAACTAAGGAAATCGGAATAAGCTCCAGACTTGGGTGGATCGCAGTGCTCGAGGCTGTTCATCACGGACGACCATGCCATCCCCACGCACAACAGTCGCAAGGGGAGGGCACCAGCACCTTCCAGGCACAGGGCAACCACTGGGCCGCCGCCCTCCTGGCCATTTTCGAGGAGGCTATTTTTCAAATAACATATATTGAACAATATTTGGGGGCTATTTTTTCTTGACCTACAGTTAATGGTATTTGATTTACCACTAAGGTATTATGAAAACCCAGTTTCCTGCCTAGATTTTTCTGGCTTTAGATCCAATTTCTCATTCCAGTTAAGGTGACTTTAAACAGATTTAATGCCAATTTTTAAGTGCTTCTCCTATTTAAAGTGATTTCCCATCCTATTTTTGCCCTAATATAAATAGACTTAAATCCATCAATAGCGCCCGCAACACAAGGTAGTCAGTACTCAGCTAAGCAATTTACTGGTAACTTTTATCATCTTCATGCTTATTGTTACTCCCAAAGCAGAGTAGCACCAGGGAAGGGAGATGCTGACCCAGCAGTCCCCTCTCTCTCATGCGGCACGGCCATTCTAGCAGGAAAACTGAGCTGGCCGGTTCTCCAGGCCAGGAGGAACCGAGACCCAGTCCCTCTGCACCTCCCAGGCCACACCTGGACAGGCCATCCTGAGTAGGCCCCGTCGCCCTCCACCTTCCTGATCAGCTCAGACCACAGCAAGGCCCAAATCTCAGAACTGGCCCCTGGAAGTCACGTTACAGACGTGGCGGCCCCAGGGCGGTCCAGGCCAGATCACTGGGAAGCCTCCTGCTTCACAGGACATGGAGGTCTGACCACCACCCCTCCCCCATCTCTGAAATGCAGGGAGGTCCAGGGGAGTTGGCACACAGCGCGTCAGCAACAAGCCCACGACACAGGACAACCCTCTAGGTAGTTAGCCTCTTGTCATCGAGGTCCCTGTGGGTCAGCATCCTGTCCACGGTGCTGGCTCACTGGGTGAGGGCAGCCCAGTGAGTGACACCCAGGCCCCCAGAAGTGGTCCCCCAATAGTAAGGCCAAGGACACAGCCCCCTCCGAGGAGGCCGGACTGGCCCACAATGCTGTAGAGAAGCTGCGGTTCAGGGGTCCAGGTGAGACAGGGGACAGCCTGCTGGGTGACAGCCCTACTCTGTTCCCTGCAGCTCGTTCCCTGGGCCAAGGAAAACGCACCAGCTGCCCTGCCTTCCTGCAGACTGCCACGCATGGGCCCAGCCCAGGGAGGACCTGGCCTCAGCACAAGCCCTGGCCCCCACCTCCCGCCCGTGCCTGCAGAGCCCCGCCCAGGCCTGGGTGCAGCGGCAGGTTTGCCCAGGGAACTCAAACTTCACAAAGAAACCATCTCTGGAGCGGGCTCTGCGTGGCCATTCGGAGTCAAAGGCATGCTTCATAGCCCTCCTGAGCCCGTGCACGGCCAGGGCCCCTTCCCCTTTGAAGCCTCTGGTGAGTGATTGAAGCGTCTCCTTTCTGAGAGGCAGATAGCACAGTGTAATCTGACTCTAAGCCCCGGGATAAAGGTAGTTTGTTTCCTCTCAGCCTTTCTGTCAACACCTCCTCAGTAATTAGCCCTAATTATTACCAAGGGCCAGCCTCCCATTCGGTTATTAAATCAGAAATAGTATCGTGGCCGGGCATCTGTCAACGCCCGGCTGGCGACCTTGGATTCACTGAATCCTCTGTCAGTATCCATGGCTTCAAAGATGCGGATCCTGGAGAGGGGTTCCGGGGAGGCAGCTCCCTGGCCCGGGGAGGGGGTGGGGAGGAGGACGGTGCCACAAGCGGCCCCGTGCTTAGCGGGCCTCAGAGCCCATTGGGGAGGCGGGAACCGGGCACCATCCCTACACTGCCTTCCCCCAACCCAGCCATGCCTGCCTCCCGGGGCCTGACGTGTCCGTGTGTGTGGGGGTGGGGGGAGACTAGGAACACCCTCATAGCCCTTCCCTGGGCCTGCCCGCCTCTGGCACAGCGTCGCCCAGAAGCCCAGGTGGTGGCCTCAGTTGCGCCCGGTTGTGCACGGCCTGAGGCTGGCAGGCCCGTGCTGGCTGTTCTGCACGTGCACGGGGAAGACTCCTGAGCCCAGCCGGCAGGAGCCCCCCGAGTCCCGACTACAGCCTACCCACCCCGCCCCCTGTGCGCAGGGCACCTCCCTGTGAGCCAGAGGGCCCACAAGCAAACTCGGGGATGGCTGTGGACATGAGTTTCAGAAGTGGAGCTGAGTGCTGTGCTCCTGAGACCCGGGGAGGACAGCCACCCACCCGTCCTGGGCCTGAGCCTCTTGTTCAATCCAAGAGAAGCAAGTCACCTGCTCCTGCAAAGCCTGGGAGGGACGCTGCTCCCTCTGGCAGGATCCACTGCTCAGGCAGCAGCAGCGCTGACCTCACATCCCTGGGGCAGCATCCCAGGCCCTTGGGCAGCTGCCAGCAATTCGTGTGAAGCCCCTTGGGAGTGTCCTTTCCAACTTGCCCCGTGTTTGGGGAAGATGGCCACGGAGGACCAGGCTCCCCCGCTGGGGTCAAGGTCCACGTGATATGATGGGTGCCTGGGCAGAGGTGAGCACAGCCCGTTCTCCCCTAAGCACCTCTGCGGCCTGACCAACACAAGGTATGAAAGGCTTCCTACAGCTGAGGGCTTGGAGGCACCAACTGGACTCCTTGGGATGGGGGGACAGGCCATCATTGCCGGGCCAGGAGGAAATGCCAGGGTGAGGAGCCACTGGTCCAGGAGCTGGAGATGGCAGGAAGGAAGGCCACTTGGGTGTTCTCAGCCGGCCTGCCTGGCACTTAGGGGCCAGGGTGGGACCGGCTAGCAATGGGTTGCCGCCCTGGTTGTTCCCGGTGAATGCACAGAAAAGCTCCATGTTTTACAGGAAGTGGGACCATTCCCAGGCACCAGCACCGGCCTCTGGGGCCGACTACCGCCAGGAGGGATGGTCCACAGGGGCCAGTTCCCCAGGGCTGACATCAGTGCCCAGATGGCCCTCCCCAGGGCCTGGGATGGGGCTGATGCCCACAGGCTGGTGCCCAGGAAGTTCCCGTGAACCCAGTCCCTCTTGGAGAGGGGCCCCTAAGCATGGTGGTGGTGAAGGGCGCTATCACTTGAGGCCTCTCGGGGGCCGATGTGGCACTCCCAGCGGCCAGCAGGTGTCCCTGCACCGTGGCTGCACTTCTGCCACCCGCACAGGCAGGTGTAAGGGCGTGGGCTCACTCCCGACCGCTGGCCCAGGCCGGCACTGCTCAGACACAGGTGGAAAGCAGCCAGGGACGTCCCTCTTCACCTTCTTACGGCCCCGCCAACGGGGAGACAGGGCACCCGGGGAGAAGGAACGGGCTGTCAAGGGCGCCCTGCAGGCCAGGAGATTCCAGAGTCACGTGAAAGGAAGAATGTTTAAACTTGGGAATATAGAGTAACATCTTCGCACCCTCTGTAGGGGTCCCAGATACAGAGCTGGGCACATCCTGCTCGGGGCTGGAGCAGCTCTGCACACAGGGGCGATGTCAGAAGGATGCTCACGACAGCACTGCCCAAGACTGCAAAGATGGGAAACAAACCCATGTCGGGTGTTCTGATGGCCCAGCTGTCTCCCCCAAGTTCCCATGTTGAAGCTCCACTCCCAGCACCTCAGACGTGGTTGTGTCCAGAGGCTTCAAAGAGGGGATTAAGCTTCAATGCGGTCATATGGTGGGCCCTGATCCAATAGGACCGGTGTCCTCATAAGGGGGCGAGGACACAGACACACTGAGGGAGACCGTCAGGGGACACACAGCGAGGTGAGGGGTCTTGGGAGCAGCCAACCCTGCCAACACCTGGATCTCGGATGCCCAGGCTCCAGGACCGGGAGGAAGCACCTCCTGTCGCTTAGGCCACGCAGCCTGAGCAGGTGCGCACGGGCATCTCTCCCCACAGCCCATGTGGCCCCCCCTCATGGCTGCACAGCTGTGTCCCGTGGCTTGGCGCTGAGGGCCCCACCCACTTCGCGGGAGGGCGCAGCAGCTCCCTCAGGCCAGGTGAACGGAGGGGAGTGATGCGCACCACTAGTGGTTCACAGCGGTCCTTCCCCAGTCTCTGCGGTCATGGAGAAATGTAGCCAGTGGAGCCCTGTCGGCACGACCCGAGGGACCACAATGGATGGGGTGGCCACGATGTGGAGGTTCTGTTCCTGCAGCACAGTCGGCCCGCCCTGACCAACACAGCGCCAGCAGCCTGGTGACCGCACTCCTCGCTGCCGGACCTCCAGGCTGTTAACAAGGCGGTGACCCCCACTGGGCACTCAGCCCTACCCCGCCCCCTTGAGGACCGGTGATTCCAATGGCTCATGGTTCAGCCGAGACCATGGAGCAAGCAGCCGCCACCTGCACGCGGGCCAGGGTTCAGCGCGCCCAGAGGCCTCCTGCGGTTCCTGGCACCTAGAATGTCTGGAATCACAGCAGAAAATCTGCCCGTACCTCCCCATGGTGCTTTTGTGACTTTTTACCGTTAAATCTTTAATCCACCTGAAGCACGGCTGGCACACAGTGAGTTTCACTGTTTTCCAGACAACTGACCAGCTGCTCCAAGTCCTCTCACTGAATGATCCACTTTACCCCCATTAATTGGAAACAGCCCTGCCAGCGTGAACTAAACCCCTGTATTTATTCGGCTTTATTTACAAGTTCTCTGCTCATCCTTCCATACCAATTTCCACGTCCTTTCGTTCCTGCAGCTTTAAAAAATGTTCTGTATCTCACAGTACCTCATCCTCAACACTTCCGGTGTTAGAAGTTTTCTTGGACACGGGCGCTTTACAAACCCTCCCACAGTGCCCACCGTGTCCCAGCTTTAGAAAATGAGACCTCCGGGTATTTCCAAGGGAAGCAACGGACAGACACAATGGTCTGGAATGCACGCCCCAGCACAGCCCACCCTGAGCACATCCAGCAACCCTGCCAGGCCCAGAGCACCCTCCTCTGGGTGGGCTGCCTACGTGTGCAGAGCCAGGAATGGCCATGACCCAAGGGCCCTTCTCCTGCCACGCACAGCAGAGCCCCCTCTCCTGGCCCTCTGTGTTCCTTCTCCCCCCCAGAGGAGAGCAGCTGGGTCATCACATCTGCCCAAAGGCAGGGCACAGTGCCAGCTAAATATGGGGCAGTCACTTTGCGGAACCATAGGCGCTGCCAGTCTGGAAGGCCAGCGCCCTCCCACCCTCTCCCAACCCCAGGAATGGGTGACCTTGCCCTCACAACTGAGGCCTGCCCTCCCGTCCTTTTCTTCATGGCCAGGGCACACCAACAGAACCCATTTTCCACAGGTCATCTGTCCAGTCTCTCCCCAAAGCCCCCGGGCCTGCCGTTGCAGATGACCCTCATGAGAGGTATGCTGGACCATAACCCGAGCCTGCAGGAGCCGTCTGGGGCCCGAGGGGGAAAAGGCCCCTAGTGAGACCGGGGGTCAAAAGGGAAGATGGAAATCTTGGGCTGAGGGAACTCACTCCAGGTCCACTAACTGGAGATGGGAGAGGCAGCCTGTGCAGAGGGCTGCTGACTGGGCCACCCCCCCCCCAGAGGGCAGCTCTGGGGCCCCAATGTTGCTAACGACACCAGACCCATAGGTGGGCCAGGCCACAGCTGACCAGGACAGCCTGCAGGAGGAGGGCCCGGGCCTGAGCAATAGCATGGGGGCAGCAGTGTGACCAGGCTGGGCTGGAACATCCAAATTCCTCCACTGGATCAGAATCAAGGGTGCACACTGATTTCTTATCAGCTTGCTTGTTTCGCTTTGGGGCTACATCAGCTTCCCACCTACTTCTAAGACTCGCAGCTGTTTTACTTATGAGGTGTCTGTGCCGTAAAATAACTCAGAAATAAAACCACCTGAACCCAGAACATTTTCAAGCAAATTACTAATGAAGTAATCCCAACAATGTCTATTTTACTTAAAATTTACCATTTGCTTATTACTTTCCTTCCGAAAATGACTTTCTGATTGCAGTTATATTTCCACTTCTTTTTCTTTCCTATTCTCCAGGAAGGTGTTTTGTTTTCCCAATTATAGGACCCACAGGGGCCTGAAATGTTTGCCTATCTGTCCCTCGGAGCAGATGCACTGTGCCTGTCCTGTGCTGACCTGGGCTGGAGAAGCCTCCCAGTCAGCTCTGTTACTAGAAAACCCTCCCTGTGCAGAGCGGGTACTCCTTCACTCCACCCTCGGCCCTGGGGACTCACAGCCCTGGCCTGCTGCCTGCTCACTTCACCGCTGGCCTCGAAGATAGTTCTCAAGGCCACACCCCTCCCACCAAGCCTCCCACTCCCACCCATTCAGCCAGACCCTGCAAGGATCCAAGCCCCTGCCATGAACCACACCTGCAACGCTGACCGGGTGCTCGCAGCTGGGCCCAGACTCTGCTCGCACTGATGGACAAGGACTCACTCAGCCATGGATCCAACCCACGTTTAATAGCACCGACTGTGTAGCAGGGACACGAGGTTGACTGATGGAGCCCTGCCCTAGGGACTCACAGTCCATCCAGAGGCACAAGTCATTACAGCGCTGGGCGGTGAGTGCTGAAGCAGCCAAGTGCACGAGTGGGTGTGGAGGCAGGATGCTGAAGAGCAGAGGGGAGGGCAGCGCGGGCCAAAACAAGACTAGATGCTAACACTGCAGGCAAATGCCTGAAAGGGAGCTGAGACTGGCAAGGAGGCCCCCACTCCACCCTCCTGCATTAAAGCTGTCCCAGTGGGCCAGGGCTGCTGGTAAGCCCGTACGTAGGGAAGCACCCTCCTCTGCCAAGACACCCTCCCACTTACACTGAATAGTGAGAGCAGCTGCTTCCTCCATGCAGCCTTCCTTAACTTCCAGTCCAGAGGATAGGGGACACAGGGAGCAGAGGCTGGGGCAGGAGTCAAAGCAGACACCACAGGAGTTAGGTCCAAAAGGGCTGGCACAGCTGACCCAGTCCAGTCCCAGCCAGCACCGAAGGGGGTGGGTTTGGGGGGGACTAGTTACAAGGACTGTACAAACTTGATGGGGACTGATCTACGCAATTCTTTCCAACTAGCGGGAACAGGCCAGGTGAGAAGGCGCTTCCCAACAAGGTGTTGGGATGCAGCCAAGAGCCCAGTGGGAGGCAGCCTCTGGGCCACTGAGTTGGAGAATGAGGGGCACAGGGCAGAGGCCACTGTCCTGCTGTGCCCTGGGGTGGGAGTTTAAGGGGAGCTGTTTGTGCTCAGACACGGTAGACGCCAAACAAGTCCATCTCCTGCCCAGCAATGGGGCAAGTGGACAGGGCACTACCTGGTGCACCCCATCTAGAGTTAGCTGGCAATACCCCACTGTCCTGACAGGGGGGCCGTGGGGTTCCCTGGTCACGCAGACCACTTCATGACAAGGGGGCACTGCCATACCTGCCCAGGCCGTGTTCGGAATCCAGTGCTGTGGGTTGGGGCGTGGGACAGAATGGTGGCTCTCCTGGGGTGGCTGGGGTGTCCACTGCCCCCTGTGGGGTACCTAAGGATGCCTCCTGGCCTGCCTCTGTCTCAGAAACCTCCTCCTTTGTTTTCTGGGGTCCTGGACCCCCTGGGTTAGTGGGACCTGGTTTCTGGGCAGGGGGTTCAGCAGATTCTGCAACTGCAAGGACAGGTTTGGGGGCCGCCTCCCCTGGCTGGGAAGATGGCCCCATGGGACCAGGACCAGCGCTGCCTGCAGAGTTGGACAAGGCAGAAGGTTCCACAGGCCCAGAGCTGCTCTCCATGGCTAGTAGCTGCTCAGGTAGAGCATTTCTAGATGTGGAATTGGAACTAGAAACAGTGGGGGTGGCCAGAGCAGCGGGGACAGACCTGGGGGGAGTGCCCATGTTGAGGGCCAAGGCCTCTGAGAACCTAGCTAAGTACTGTCTCACCACAGGCAGCTGTGGGGCCACTGGTGGCTGGCTCGAGGCCAGAGGCAAAGAACAGGGCCCTGCAGCGTGGTACTCAGCAAAGTTGTTTGGGTTTTGAATAACTTCCTCAAGATCCTGGCAAAAAAGCTCATAGTTGTCAGGCAGGGGCAGGTCCCCATCGAGGTAGGGGGCTGCCCACGCCCGGGCTCGGCCCGTCAGGCGCCCGAGGATCTCGCAGACGCGGCTGAGGTTGTCCCGGTAGTGCTCAAAGCGGAAGGACATGTAATCGCCCAGCTGGGCCAGAAAGCGGTCCAGCAGCCAAGGGGAGCCATCGAAGGTGCCTGGGTCTGAGCCGGGCACCCAGTGGAAGTCCACCTTGAGGGGCCGCAGGCCCATGCGCATTGCTGGGGGGCCCCTCTCCGCGGGCTTACAGCCCACAGCACCACTCGCTGAGCTCTTCTGCTCCATGGTCGTGCGCACACACACAGGGTCCCCACAGCAGGGCCGCTCAATCCAGGGATCCACTAGGGGGGTGTACGCAACCCCAGGAGTGGCCCCGTCCTCCTGCCAGGGGTGTGCATTGGCGTAGTTGGCTGCCGCCCGGATGGGATTGCGAGGGCCCTGGCGCCGGCCACGAGGCATGCTGGGAGCAGACGGGAGCTGCCACGTCAACTAGAGAAAGAAGGGGGAGAGGAGGGAGGGACGGCGCCCAGAGGGTGGGCAGAAGCGGCGCGCAGACACAACGGGATAGACGGTTGCGAAGGGGTGCTCCAGGCAAGTGCTGAGCGGGGAGCTGACCACTGCGGCCTCAGAAGAGCTGAGAAGAGCTGATGGGACTGTCAGACGCAGGCCACCATCCGAGGCGATCTGTCCAAAAACAAGGTGGGAAGAGTGGGAACTAGGCCCAACCACCACCACTGGGCAGCCGACCCTGGGCCCCCACCAGGAGCTCTCCATGCAAGGGGGCCCAGAGGCCTGCCTGGGAGGTCCCAGAAAGCAGGTACACGCCACCTGGGATGTTTCAAGGGCAAGATGTGATGGCAGTGATGTCAATCCCAGGAGGCCAGATCAGGGGGCCAGATCAGATCCCCCTGGGCTTCCTTGGACGGCCTGGATGGCTGTCAAAGAATTTCAGGAGTAACAATAACAACCTTCACTGACGGCTCTAGTCATGGCCAACAATGACCCCTGATGAGGCTGACCCCGAGGCACGGTGGTGAGTAAAGTCACTCGTCTGTGGCCACACACGCCAACCAGTTAGTGACAGAGGCAGCTGACCCCACGACACATCACCACGCCATTTACAAGCTACGCTTCACAGTCCTGTGAACCGTCTCCCAGCCGCCCAAGCACTGTACTGTCAGGTGCAGAGTGTGTCATAAGATCTTTTTACATCACAGCCCCAGAAGCATGGCAAGCACTACCTGTGTGCCTTCCAGGTTTCCCCCCACCCCCACACCCGTCCTGTGTCTCCCAGACTCATGTCGCTACTCACAGTGCAGCCACCCCACCCCAAACACATCCTCCCTGCATTCCCCTCCCTGTCAACAGCCCAGAATCCGAACCCGAGTTAAATTCCACTTGCTCTGTCTACTCTCCCCACCCCAAGGTGGTCCCTGCAAAGGGCCTGGAAAACAGTGACCATCACCCCTGAGCAGCCCAAAGAAACGCAAAACAAAAAAGGAGGTGCAGTTCCCGTCGGATGCAAGGAGCCCTCCCGCAGTCCAGCCTGAGGGTAGCCACCTCCCCAGTCTCCCTGCAACACGAGGTCCACTCCTGGCCTGCACAGAGCGCTCTCTGCTTCACCCCTCCTGGCGCGATTTCCCCAACAAGCCCTCCACACACACACACACCCCGCCCCCCACTGCTCAACCGGCTCCCACCGAGGGGCGCCAGTCTGCACTCACCTTCGGGGCGGCTTCCCACGTGTTTACCTACCCCCATCTGCGGGAGCTCCTCCAAGGGGGCACGGCCTGTTGGTCTTTCCGCCCAGGACCTCCCAGGGCGGCCTGCAGCATTCGGAGCCGCCAGGGGCCCCAGCACCTGCCTCCCCAACCCCCAACACTGGTGGCGAGGCGGGGGGTGGGGGTCTTCCATCCGAAAGCCCGTCCCATCCTAACACTAAAAACACGCTAGGGCGGTAGAGACCGAAGACAGCAGGTAAATGCCGTCCAGTCCAGTTCCTCACCGAGCGCTGAAAAAAAGGTGACCACGAACCACTCCCACTCCTGCCCCCCGTGAGGGGAGGCAGCCGCTGCCGTGAGCGCCCGGGACCCCGCCCCGCCTGGCTCTCACTAATTCGGGGAGCGATGTCCCCAGCCTGTCCGGCGCCGAGGGACCCGGCCCTTCCCCGGGACAGGACAGCGTGCGCCCGCGGAGCCGAGGCCGCGCCCGGTTCAGGCGCCGCCGCACGAAGCCCACCTACCTGCGGCCACGCGGCGCCACGACGGTCCGGTTCCCTCGACAGCGAGTCCGAGCGCACCTACAAAACGGACGAGACCGGCCGCCGTGAGGCGAGGCCAGGGCCGGCGCGGACCGGGGTCGGGAAGGGACGGAAGGGCGCGGACCCCAACGCACTAACCCGACGGCCGCAGCCCGCGACCCCAGCCGCAAGCAGCGTGAGCCCCAGCACCGCCTTGTCGTGCGGCCACGCCCCCTGCGTGCGCGCGGCCGACCCCTACGTCCCCGCGCCGGCTCCCGGAACGCCCCTCGCTGGCCTCCCAGCCGCGCTGCGCCTGCGCCCTGCGTTGTGAAGCCTCGGTCGCGCAGGCGCTTCCGGGCCCTGCCAGCGGGGCAGCAGGGCGCGAGGGTTGATGGGAGGGCGCTCAGCCGGACGCCGCGCGGAGTGCCACGAGAGCAGGTGGGGCCGCGTGCGCAGGCGCAGGAAGGGCCGGGTCCGGAGGGCGGGTGGGGCCGCGTGCGCAGCCGCCGGCGGCGCGCTGCGCTGAGGAGCGGCTCGGTGCGGCGGGGTCGTGGCGCCCACCTGGCTCTAGCTGGGACTCAGGGACAGACGCGGCGACAACTGCACTGAGTGCTGAGCGTCAGGAGGGCTGTTGGGGGCCGAGGGCACCTGGGAGGGTTGGCACAGAGGGGCTTCAGCGTTTCCTGGACGGAGTGCCCGGAGAATACCCGTAGCTGGAGACCAGCAGGGGCCGGGCGCGTATGTGCGCCCAGGAGCGACGGGGCGGGGCTGGCCCCGAGGACCGTCCCCTGAGGGCCCGGTTCCCTCGCCATGGGCGGGCTGGCTCGACTCACCCCTCAAGGCTGGACCCTGAGCGGCTGCCCAGCCAGCGCCCCGGCACTGGAGGCGCCGGTGCGGGGGAGAGCTGTTGCCCTACGTGCGAGACCTCTAGCACCTCGTGCCCCGGGGCCCCCAGGTGGGGACAGGTTACCAGGGCCAAGGCGGCCGAGGTCACTGGAAGTGATGTAACACCAGCTCCCTTTCTGCCCTGGTCTAGCGACTTCTTTCATGAAACCATCTCTGAAATGTTATCTGCATTTACAGCCAAACTCACTTGCTTTGATCCTTGAAACAGAATCAGAGATTACACTGTACCTTCTCAGGGTTTGTGGGGATTTCAGCAGCCTCGCCAAAAATAATAGAGGTGGCACCCTGCCAGGAAACGCCTCCTGGAAGTGTGAATGAAACTTGTATTTTTCGGTTGTGTCTTTCCTAATTGACCTGATAATTTAAACTTCCTGCTTCAAAGGAGAGGGGGAGTTCCCGACAGAGTTCCCGACAGTTTGGCAGCTAAGGCCAACTCAGGGCAGTCAGCGGAGAGTGGGCAGCAGACTTGTGCAAAACACCCAACCACACCCACCCAACTGGGCCACACCATCAGAAAATACCTTTTTGGGTCCAAAACTTTATTTTGTTATTCAGGCCATCTTCTATGTATATATATATTTTAAATTGTGGTAAAATATACATAAAATTTATTTTAACCATTTTTAAGTCTACATTCAGTGGCACTAAGTATATTCATATTATTATGCAACCTTCACCACCAACATCTCCAGAACTTTTTCATTACCCCAAACAGAAACTCTGTCCGCATTAAACACTCCTCTTCACCACCCCTTTCCCAAGCTCCCAGTAACCTCTATTCTACTTTGTCTATATTAATTTGCCTATTCTAGGTACCTCGTATAGTTGGAATCACATATTATTTGCCATTTCACTTAGAAGAATGTTTTAAAGGTTAATCCATGGTGTGGCACCTATCAGACTTATTGTTCCTTTTTAACACAATAATATTCCTTTCTACATATATACAACATTTTGTCTATCCATTCATCTGTTGGTGGACACTTGGGTTCCTCCCATCTTTTGGCTGTTGTGACTGATGCTGCTGTGAATGTGGGTATACAAATATCTGTTTGAGTCCCTGCTTTCAATTGTTTTGGGTATGTACCTAGGAGTGGAATTGCTGGGTCATATGGTAATGCTATGTTTAACTTTTTGAGGAACTGCCAAATTTTCTACAGTGGTTGTATGAGTTTTCATTCCCGCCAGCAATGCACAAGGGTTCCAATTTCTCCACATCTTCACTAACAGGTGTTCTTTTTTTTTTTTTTTTTTTTAAATAATGGCTATCTTAATGGGCGTGATGTGGTACCTTGTGGTTTTGATTTGCATTTCCCTAGTGACTAGTGATGTTCAGCATCTTTTCATGTGCTTATTGGACCTGGATGTGTGTTTGAACTGGGAGGCCCAGAGGCAGTCGTCAGGCTCTGAAGTGTTCAGGGTTGGTGTCAGGTCTGTGGCTCCCCAGAGCCAGGGCAGCAAGGAAACAGGGACACGCAGCCCAAGAGGTGACGCCAGCTGCCTGAGGACTGCCAGCCTGTTAAGCCTGCCTGTGCTGCTTGCCCCTGGACCTTCCTCAGGGCCCGTCCCTAGAGCCTGCTGGTGGACAGCAGAACCCAGAACCATTCCTGCCATTTCTTTGTTCAAATTTGCTCTGGTCACTCCTACCTTAGTTCTTGTAGTGCAAGCAATCACTCCAGCTGTCACCTAAATGTCTTCATTTCTCCCTCATTTTTGAATAATATTTCTGGGTTGGCTTTCTTTCTGAATGTAGATTTCATTCCATTTCTTCTCACCTTCATTTTTTCGATGTGCAGTCAGACACATGTAACGTGTCCTTATTCCTCCAACTGTTCTCACAGTTTCCTCTTTGTCTTTGATTTTCAAGAGCTTGACTGTGATATGCCTGCCTGCCTGGCTGTTTGTTTTTATGTTTATACTGCTTGAGATTTGTTGGGATTCTTGGATCTATAAGTTGATCCAAAATTCATGAAATTTCAGGTCATCATTTCTTCAAATTTTTTTTATGCCCCATTCTCTCTCTTTTCTCCCTCTGAAGCACGATTATATTAAACTTTATTTCTTTTTTTAAAAAATATGTATTTATTTGGCTGTGCCGGGTCTTAGTTGCGGCACGTGGGATCTTTGTTGCTGCATGCAGGATGTGCGTTGCGGCGTGCAGGCGCTTAGTTGCGGCGTGCAGGCGCTTAGTTGCGGCACGTGGGATCTAGTTCCCTGACCAGGGATCGAATCTGGACCCCCTGCACTGGGAGCTCGGAGTCTTAACCGCTGGACCACCAGGGAAGTCCCTAGACTTTCTACTGTGGTCTCTCAGATCCATATTACCTCTATTGTTACTCTCTATTCTTTTGATGGGACAATTCTTATTTATTTGTCTTCAAGATCATTGACCCTTTCTTTTGCCATCTCCAAACTGTTCTTAAAATCCGTTAAAGTCCATCAAGTTACATTTTCATTTATTGTTATACTTTTCAGTTTTAGAATTTCTATTTGGTTCTCTTTGACCATTTCCATTTCTCTGCTAAAATTCTCTGTGGTCATTCATTATGGCCAATTTTTCCCTTGAGGACTTACATATATTTATAAAAGCTGTTTTAAAATTTAATTCCAGGGACTCCCCTGGAATCCGCCTGCCAATGCAGCAGACACAGATTCGAGCCCTGGTCTGGGAAGATCCCACATGCTGCGATGCAACTAAGCCCATGCGCCACAGCTACGGAGCCTGCACTCTAGAGCCTGTGAGCCACAATCACTGAGCCCGCATGCCACAACTACTGAAGCCCACACGCCTAGAGCCCATGCTCCACAACAAGAGAAGCCACCTCAATAAGAAGCCCACACACCGCAACAAAGAGTAGCCCCTGCTCTGCAATTAGAGAAAACCCGCGCACAGCAACAAAGACCCAATGCAGCCAAAAATAAATAAATAAATAAATTTATTTTTAAAAAATTTAATTCCAACATCTGGATCATCTTGGGGCTGGTTTCTAGGAACTGCTTTCTCCTCCTGGCTAGGAATCATATTTCCACGTTCCTCACACATCTAGTCATTTTTAGCTGCGTTCTGGACACTGATGGCATTTTGTAGAGCCTTTGGAGTCTGTTATCTTCTGAAGTGTGTTGGCCTTTGTTTCATCAGGCCTTCCACTTTGAACTTTTGGAGGCATGGTTTTATTTTTGTGAGGGTGGATCTGTTGCAGTTTTGCCTTTAGTCCTACACAAACCCGTTAGTCTTGGAACCTAATTTTTTCTCACAAGGTGTGGACTTGCTGTGGTTTCAGGGGAAAGCCCACAGTACTTGCACAGCCCCTGTGACTTGGTGGGACTTGAGATCCAAACTGTCTGTCCCCCTGCAGTGGATGATCACTGAAATCTCTGCTCTCTCCTCCTTGAGTCTCGCTCCCACACGAGCAGTTCAGTCATCAACCAAGGATCTGACGGGAGTTTACATGCAGGTTTTCAGGGATTTTCTCCCTCATTTCCAGATGCTCTGGCTGACCCCAGCTGTTCTCTGGCACCTCAAGCCAACAGGACTACAGCTTCCTGTTCCCATTCTGGTCACTGGTGCCCTGCCCTAGGGAGGGCCCTCAGGGGAAAAGCATATACACGCGAATCTCACTCAGTACATTTCTTTTTCCAGTGGCTGGATTCCCTCTAGTTTTTTATTGCTTTTGGTTGATCTTCAGTGCCTTCAGACAGTATCTTTTCTATTTTGTGTGGAGTTGATCACTTTTATTTGCGAAAAAGTTAGCTTTATACAAGCTGCTCAGACACCACCCAGACCAGCCCCTCTGCCCCCTGTACATCTGTCTCCAATAGCACCAATCCAGCTATGCCTGCCTGTATTAAGACACACAGCACCTAGTGGAACACTTGGAGCAGACCTGGCCTCCTGCTCCCCTGTGTGGCCCTGGCACATGAGAGCTGGAGGAGGAAAGCTGCAGGAAGTCAGGTCAGCTCTGAGCTGCACCCCTTTCCACGGACACACGGTGTGTGGAGCTCAGACCTTGCAAAGCAGGCTCCTCAGACCTGTCAGGATGGAAAACACAACGTAAAGGCTTCACGCCCAGGTTCATCAACAGCTGTGCCTCGAGCACCTACTACACACCAGGCACCATGCTGGGGACAGAGACACGAGGAAGGGAGGCTCCTTTAGGGCAAGAGAGAAACACCATTCCAGGAAGGCTTCCTGGAGGGAGAGCCTTGCACTGAATCATAACCAAGGAGGGGGGCTGGCCAGGCAGAAGGTGGAGGCACAGCCTGGCAAAGGCTTAAGGGCCAGGCGAGTGCCGTGGGGGAAGTGAC